AGGGGGGAGGGGAGGAGAAGGGAAAAGAGAGAGGGGGGCGGTGGGGGGAACAGCAGGTCTCTCGGCCCCGGCGTCAGCAAGTCCAGGGGGGCCGGGGGTGGGAGGGGATGGAGTCGCTCCCCAGGGTGCCCCCACTCTCTCTCCCCCCTTCCTCCTCCTCAAGGCTGCTCAGTTGTTGTCCGACTCGTCCTCAGCTTCCCGGAGCCAGGTGAAAAAGGCTGTCACGGATTTGAGAGCCACCCCTTTGCCCTGCTGCTCAGCCGGGTCCTTGCTGGACTCCCACTTGTAGAAAGCCTCCTCCTTGATGACGTCCTCATCGTACAGAGCATCAAAGAACATTCGCAGCAGGTCTGGAGGGGGGACAGAGGGGGACCCCTTGCCATTCCCTAGCCACCAGCCACCCTGTTGGGGTGGGGACACGCCTGCCACCCCCCCTCCTCAGCCCACCCGTCCCCGCGACACTCACTGGGAGGCTGTTCCAGCTTCACCACTAAGGCTTGCAGGGCGTAGAGCGCCTGGAGCTCCTTCTGCTCGTCCCGCAGGTACTTCTGCAGCAGCTTGGCTTGGTTGCGGATGACCAGGGCATCCACGCGGTAGGGGTTCTCGACTGCGGGAGACGGGGCATGAGAGGGGGGCAGCGTGGGCAGGGGCAACCCCCCCCCTCACCCTGGTACTCACAGACAACGGCTGAGTGGCACACGGATGTCATCAGGGCCCTGATAAACGTGTTGGACGAGACCTGCTGCTCACTCAGGTTGGCCTGGAGGAGGCAGGGCAGAGGGATGGGAGGTGGGGATGGAGCCAGGAGGGGGATGCCGGACCCGCGGGCGCTGCACCCGCACCCTCACCTCGATCCAGTCGTGTATTCTTTGGTTGTTCGGGTTCTCCTTCAGCAGTTTGTCTATCTGCTTGCACAGCTCCTCCGAGGTCAGCTCCTTGCGGCTCGGCGTGTCCGAGCTATCCCCCACCGTGTACTCCAGTTTCTGGGGGAGCGGGCAGAGTCGAGCTGTTAAAGGCAGCACAGGGGAACGCTACGCTCCCGGCAGCAGGCCCCCCCTTCCCCAGGGGTCCCC